GGGTAGTTCAGGTATGAGCCCTTCGGTGCCCTAATCCTGAAGCTGGAGACGGAAATAGAATAGAAACAGAAGTGGCTTTCCTTAAGTGCTTGCTATGTGCCAAGCACTATGTAAGCACTTACCTATATTAACCTTTTAATCTTCATAACAGCGATAAGAGGTTAAGTCATAGTAGCCACATTTTTCAGGTAGGAAACGGAGGCAAGGAGAACTCAGTTGCCCAAAGTCACCGGACTAGCAAGTGGCCGCGCCAGGATTCCCACCCAGGGAGCCTGGCTTTGGAACCCCTCGTCTTAAGTTCTGCTTCGTCCAGCTCCTCCCATCGTCTCTGCCCTCCCACAGATGCAGAGGAGTGTGTGATGTTTGGGCCTGGTCTCTGCCAGAACGGCCGGTGCCTCAACACGGTGCCTGGCTACATCTGCTTGTGCAACCCCGGCTACCACTACAACGCCGTCCTCAGGAAGTGCGAGGGTGAGGACGCACACCACCCCTCCCGGGCCCCATCAGTGCTGGCGGTTCCTGATGCAGCCGGCGGGCCGGACGGGAGGGGAGCCGTGGCGCTGTCAGGGCTTGCATGTGAGCCCCTGTCGGAAAGGCATCCCTGGGGAGGCGCCTCGCAGGCTGGGCTGGGTCAGGGGATGAGGGGGAAGCAGGGTGCTACTCTTCATTATCAGTTACCAGAAAACCTCCTTCCACGAAGACGGTCCGTGGGCAAGCTGCCTTGGTACTGCCCCACACATTCCTTCCTTCTTTCCGCCACCCCAGATCACGACGAGTGCCAGGCCATGGCCTGTGAGAATGGTGAGTGTGTGAACACCGAAGGCTCTTTCCACTGCTTCTGCAGCCCCCCCCTCACCCTGGACCTCAGCCAGCAGCGCTGCGTGAACAGCACCGGGAGCACTGGTCAGTAGGCCTGGAGCGGTAGGGCGGCAGGGAGACTGGCTCTGGGCTGGGAGGGCTCACGTGCCCCTGGGCCCTGTGCCACCAGAGGACCTGCCTGACCACGACATCCACACGGACATCTGCTGGAAAAGAGTCACCAACTACGTGTGCAGCCAAGCCCTGCACGGGCGCCGCACCACCTACACGGAATGCTGCTGCCAGGACGGCGAGGCCTGGAGCCAGCAGTGTGCCCTCTGCCCCCCCAGGAGCTCCGGTGAGAAGGGTGACCCGTGCCTGCTCAGAGGGAGGGGCCCTAGGGAAGGGGATGCTCTCACCTTGGAAGGAGGGATTTAGAAGTAGAGCAAGCAGAGTGTGGCCCTGTCTTCCATCCCTGCTGCTTGGGGACAAAAGGGGGGGCGGGGGGGGGGAAGAGTACAGCCGGGAGCTCCCGGAGCGGACCAGTCCCAGCATGTTCCCTCTCCCCGGGCAGCGAGCCGGGGGACAGCACACCAGGCTTTAGCTGGCAGGAACTTGGCAGCTTCTGTCTCCCTCCCCCCTGACAGAGGTCTACGCTCAGCTGTGCAACGTGGCCCGGATTGAAGCGGAGCGGGAGGCGGGGGTCCACTTCCGGCCAGGCTATGAGTACGGCCCTGGGCCCGAGGACCTGCACTACAGCCTCTACGGCCCCGATGGGGCCCCCTTCTACAACTACCTGGGCCCTGAGGACACCATCCCAGAGCCACCCTTCCCCAACACAGCCAGCCGCACCGGGGACCACACACCAGTTCTTGAGTCACCCCTGCAGCCCTCGGACCTCCAGCCCCACTACGTGGCCAGCGGGCCAGGTCTGTGTTGCTGCCCACATGGGGAAGCTGTGGGCCCCGCAGCGGTTTCTCTCCTGCCTCCTCTACCTACTGATCACTGCCGGCAGGGCAGGGCCGCAGAGGGAAGACCCACCGAGCCCTCTCAGGTCACTCAAGGGCCAACTCCAAATGCCCGGCTCAGACCCTAACAACTCTCTCTGATAAACTGGCACAGGGGACACAAAGAGGTACAGGACACCACCTCGACCTCAAAAGCTTCCCTGAGGGAGCTGAGAGAACAAGGGAAAGCAGGTACACTCCGCTCTGTGTTTCTCCCTCCACGCCACTCAGTGTGCAGAATAACCTGCTCTACGAGCTCACACTTGTCACCTGAAATGTGCGCTAAGGATTTCTAATCACTTTAAAGGCCTGCTCTGGTGACTCGGTTTGTTGGTGGCAATGACCCCAGCATGCAGGACTGGGATTCTAAGAAGCCAGGCCTGGCACCTGTGCGACAGACGTAGCTGCCATGAGCACAGCCCCTGCGTCAGACTAAGGCTGCGCGGGGATTAGGGGCCGGGTCTTTCTCAGGGGTTGGGAGCTGCTTAGAAAGGAGAGATTCAAGCAGATCCCTAGGTTCCGCTTTGCGTTGAGTGAGGGTAATCCCCTCTTGCTGCCAATCTCCTCCCCACAAAAAAACTATACAAAGATTTTAACCACCACCAACCACAACAAAACTAAAACTGTAGACACCCACTTGCTCCGGAGCCCTGGCACTGTGAAAGTAGTGAGTCTCAGCCTTCCCGGAGCTGACATTTAAAGCACAGCATGTCTCTGCCACCGTAAGTGATGACACATACTTATTTCTTAAGGGTACAGCCTTTTATTTCAGCAGCTTTCCGTGAGGCGTTCAGATCCTCCCAACCCTGACCTTAGGAGTTCAACAGGAGCAGCCCTTTGTGGTGGAGGGTGAGGGCCCCAGGGTCAGGTGCAAGGCCTCAGCTTCCTTCTCTGACTCCCTCCTACCAGAGCACCAGGCCGGCTTCGAAGGGCTGCAGGCAGAGGAATGCGGCGTCCTGAACGGCTGTGAGAATGGCCGCTGTGTGCGCGTGAGGGAGGGCTACACCTGTGACTGCTTTGAGGGCTTCCAGCTGGACATGGCCCACATGGCGTGTGTGGGTAAGTGTTGATCTGAGTGGCAACGCCCAGGGAGCAGGAGGACCCTGATGGCTCCAGGTGGAAAGGTCAGACCAGTCGCACTGCTCAGTTAGAAATACAGGACTGAACTTAGGGTGGCTGGGAAACCCACTGCTGCCCCCTAGTGTGGCGTCTGGAGCCAGGCCAAGCCGTGAGAGCGTGCCAAAGGTCTCCTGCTGGGTACAGAAAACCCTTTCATGGAGATTCCTAGGCAGAGGAAAGGGACAGGGGAGCACGGTCACTCTCAGGGGCACAGCATGGGTTCACTACCACCTGCTCTGTGTCTCTGAGAAGCTTAGTTTTGGGCAGTGACTTCGGCTTCCGGCTGCCACGTGTAGGATTCCACTGCTGGGCAGGGGCCAGAGCTTAGTGGCCACAGCAGCAGAGGGACCCGGGCTCCCTACAGTGCTCTCTTCCCTCCCTTCCTCTTAGATGTGAATGAGTGTGATGACTTGAACGGGCCTGCTGCACTCTGTGCCCATGGTCACTGCGAGAACACCGAGGGCTCCTACCGCTGCCACTGCTCCCCAGGTTATGTGGCCGAGGCAGGCCCCCCACACTGCACTGCCAAGGAGTAGCAGTGAGGGGTCGGTGTGGACAGCTACCTGGAAATGGGCCCCAGCCACAGGCAGGGGCCTAGAGGAGGCTTTCCTAGCTGGGAAGACACCGTGAAGAAGCAGACAGAAGGCCCTGCAGCCCAGCCTCCCAGCCAGCCCTGCCTGCTTTTCAGCTCTCCCAGCTTAGGCCCTGGCTGTGAGCTTCTATCACTGCCTTCATGCTGCCATGCCCTTGCTTGGCTCAAACACCACCAAATGCTTTAATGCTTCAGCCACTGGCCGTGAGGATCAGTCTGCCACCTGTCCTGGCCTTGCTATGGGATGCTTACCAAAGGATGGCCCTCATCCACCCCCTCAAGCTGTGCAAACATGCAAGGTCGTTCGGCCTCACATTGCTGACACCCTTTCCCAGTCACGATCCACATAACATCCTGATGATTCCACAACTGGGTCAGAAGTTACATCTGCCCAGGTATGGTCCTTCAGTATCTCTTGAGCAAAAAAGGATTGGGGGACATTTGGGGAGTGACTCCAAGGCCTCCTCCCAAGAACCATCACCTCAACCAATCTCTCTGGGCCAGATTTTGCCACCTGTCCATCCTGTAGCAGTTCTACGGCCCTAGGCAGGGGCGGAAGATCTCCTCATCTCAGAGCAAGACTGATTGTAGCTTGCTGAGTGTGAGAGACGCAAATGAAGGGGAGCACGGAGACGGAGAACGCAGCAAGAGGGCAATATGAAAAATATGGGGAGGTGATAAGAAAGGGGGAGCCAAGGCTTTCAACAAGGCTAAAGAAACTGTTCAGTAGCTTTGGGTAAACATTCGCAATCTACCCGCGGCAGCTCCCGTGCACCAACCACAGCAAGCCTGCCACAGGCCGGGGGCCCACCTCCGAAGACCTGTATTAAATACACACCGCTTCTTACAGGACACAAACCTCTCCCGGGCTCTCCTTTTGTGGATACCAGTTTGAGGTACTAAAAATAAAGGGGTCTGTTTTCTAGCTTGTGAAATACAGTGTAGTCTGGTTTAGGGGAAGCCAGATTTCCCATGTTGTTTCTTCTCTCTACTCAGAAGCCCTTGATGTCTTTCTTTCAAAAATGGCATCTGGCATCCCTCTCAGTTTATAAGGAGAGGCCCACTCCATCCTTGGCCAGCTAGGAGTTTAGAACCATGGTGGAATAAAGAAACGTACATTTGGGCTCCTGTTTTTGTTTTTATTTCATATTAAACCAAATTTTTTACCACGTTGGCTAAGTCTAAATATTAGACATGAGGCTGTGCCTATCCTTTTGCCAGCTCTGCCGATAGCCTATGATTAGGATCCAATGGGAAAAGATTCTTTACTCTTCTAAGACAAGGAAAGCTCTGCCTTTGCATTTGTCTGATGAAAGGCAATGTAAATGAACAAGATGTGCCTGAAGACATGGAGATGGATACTATTAATCTGTCCTGTCCTACCTGCTGCTCTAATTGTCAGCCATCCCATAATAACTTATTGAATGCTTGTTATGTGCCAGGCACTATATTGAGTGCTCAACACAAATTTCATTTAATCATCCAGCAATCCTACTATTTTTATTCCCAATTTATAGATGAGGAAATGGAGACACGCAGAGTTCAAACAATTTGCTCTACGTCACTATACTAGTTGAGATGTTTTCAGCAGACAAAAATATGTAATTCTTACACATATGAAAATATTCATAACAAAAAAAATGCGAGTTAAAACCACACGAGACACACTTTTAAAACTCTCAGATTGGCAAAGATCAGAAGTTTGTTAAGACTCCTAGTTGGCAAGCATCTGCTGAAAGAGGGACTCACATACACAGCTGACAGGGGCTTAAACTGACACAACTTCTGAAGAGGATAATATGGCAATGTCTTTCGAAATTATAAAAGCACTTACTCTTTGACTCTTCTAGGAATTTAACCTTCAGATATATTCTCACCAAATGTGAACACGTGTAAGAGGTTATTTATTATAGCATTACTTGTAACAGCAAAAGATTAGAAGCAATTAGTTGCTACTACGGAGGCCTAAAAATGAAAAAAAAAAAAAGGCTCTTAATACCTTGAGAAGAAATCCAAAATAGACTAAGCGGGGAAAGAAGGCTGTGTAACAAAGTGGACCATGTGCTGCTAGTTGTCTAAAGAAAGGGGGAAGACAACTGGGTATCTGCTGGCCTCATCCTCGTCACTCTGCCTTACACCCCATGGTTCAGAGAACTTCTTTACCACTCTTCCATATACCCACTGGCACTACGCCTCCTCCCAACCCTTGCCTTCCTGCTCACCCAGAAAAACTTCATTCACATACACATATTTCTTTGTATCAAAAACACAAATAGCAACCTATACCTGCTGTTCTGCACTTTGCTTTTTTCACTTAATCCAGACTTGCACATAAAGAACTGTCTCATTCTATAATTGTATACTATTCCACTGAATGGATAAATCATAATTTATTTAGTCAGTCCCCTATTGATGGACATTTCCATTGTTTCCTATCTCTTGCTATTATAAGTAATGCTATAATGAATATTCTTGTGTATATGTTATTTCACATTATATCTATGGGATTATACCTATAGGGTAAATTCTTAGAAACAACAGTGGTTTATGGGGGGGTGACAGGGTGGATGGGTACAGGATTGGAAGACTTTTCACTGTATCCCCTTTTGTGTCTTTTTGAATTTTGTACCATGTGTATTACCTTTCCAAAAAAATAAAATATTTTTAAATACAGCTTTGGCCATAGACTGCTTAAATGCTCCCTTCTTTATATATATTTATCTGACAATTAAAGCCACATAATTATTTCAAAACTTCCTAAAGCAAACTCCTTTAAACAGCCCTGTAGCATTTCTGTGGAGAAATGGCAAACAGGGATTTTAAAAGAGCAATCATAAACACCACTGCTAGATACCTAGAAAAGTAGAGGAATTTCCTGCCTTTGACACAAACATGCAACACCGTTAATTATGTTGCAGTGGACAATGTTAGGTCCTGCACACTACCAGCGGCATGCTATCCACGCTCAGCCAGCATTTAAGGGAGGGCTATACCATACAATCAGTGTTGCCCACTTCTCTATATAGGATGCTCCTGCCAAACGTCAACCCTCCTCTCAGTGCTTTATAACAGAAGACTGAAAACAGAAGGTTTCAATTCTTAGAAGTTAGAAAAGTTACAAAGTTCTTCTTGGACACCTACTTTAGTAGCCCTTCCTAATCTCTTACTTCTAAACCTGTTTTCTCCTAATCCCTTGTAATCTGTCGACATTCCCACACAAACTAAGGTTGGGTGGGACACCTACAGTTCACATACCACTAGTCACTATCAATCACATAACTGAAGAGTACGATTCCACAAGGTAAGATCTGGACATTGACTAAGATGCCCCCCGCTTTGAGCCAACAACATAAAGCAGATTCACAACAGGGGCACCTGGGTGGCTCTACTGGTTAAGCGTCTGCCTTCAGCTCGGGTCATGATCTCAGGGTCCTGGAATCAAGCCCTGCTTCAGGCTCTCTACTCAGTGGGGAGTCTGCTTCTCCCTTTCCCTCTGTCCTGCACCCCCCCTCTTGCTCTCTCAAATAAATAAAATCTAAAAAAAAAAAAAAAAAAAAAAACCTGGGGCACCTGGGTGTCTCAGTCGGTTAAATAACTGCCTTCGGCTCAGGTCATGGTCCTGGAGTCCCAGGATCCAGCCCCACACTGGGCTCCCTGCTCAGTGGGGAGTCTGCTTCTGCCCCTTCCCCTGCTCCTTCTCTCTCTCTCAAATGAATAACATCAAACAAACAAACAAAAAACACAGATTCACAACATAAAGCAGATGCAGGGCTCCCTTGCCTTTGATTCTTGCATTATGCCTTACTAGGGCAAAGGTAGGGTATGCTGCCCCCAAACACTCTCTAACTTGCATAAATAAAACCAATTCTGCAACAATAAGGCCTTTCCCCTTGAAAGTAATGGGAAAGCAATCCCAGGTTCCTCAGATTGGTACAAGTGGTAGCAATCTCTGGGTCACCTGTCATCACATCAAAGTTTGTATATGTGCTGCCAAAGCGAGCACAGCATCAAAGTTTGATAGAGAAGGATGATCCACAGGAGCAGCCTTGCTGCGCTTGAGGATTGTTCAACACTTGAAATGAGCTTCGGATCAGTTCTTGGCTGAAGTCCACCTGGGCCCCTTTCACGAAGGCCAAGCTATCAGAGTCAACCACCACTCTTGCCCCACCCTGTTCAAATACCCTGAAAAAGACAGGAGGAAGACATTAATGACTATCATAAACACCAAAACCATAACACCCTCTGAGCCCTGGGGTGCACATCCTGTTTTTCCAAATACAGGAGAAGCATTCCTTATTATCTAACAGGTGCTGCTTTTCTCTGAGGCAAAGAGAGTCAATGGAATAATACTGGTAAACGTTTAGGGATTTAGGCCTGGAATCCAGTCCAGCCTGACTCTACACTACGGACCTAGGCAGGCCAACTTTCCTCCTATAACATAGTTACTCTGAATCATGACAACAAATCTTCACTGTATTCCCACTATGTGAGAAGGGTGGTGTTAGGCGTTCTTAGCAAACCTTTTAAATTTGAAATAAACGTGCACCTTTATCCCTCCCACACATTCTCTGAGGACCCACCCCTTCCTTCTTGCCTGTCGTCGGGGTTGATAACTGTATCCAGTGAAAATTTGTATTGGAATCCGGAGCATCCACCTCCCTCCACCTCCAGCCTTAGGAATTCTGACCCTTCGGTGATTTCCAGAAGTCTCTGAAATGCAAAATGGGGATCAAGAATGCCAAAAGGGGGGATCAAGAATGCCAGGCAAGAATGCCAGGCAAGAAAGGTGGGCCAAGGGGAAGTCCCTGCACTCCTGGCCCTCTCCCCGGTACCGCCGCCCCGCGTCCGGCCTCCTACCTGGACACAGCTGGCGGTGAGGTGGATCTGCTCTTCGCCGGCCTCGGGGCTGGAGGACGACGCTTCCCGACGAGCCTGAGGTCCGCGAGAGGCCGCGAGGAGCCTGCTGCACAAGGGAGGAGGATGAGCCCGGGAGCAGAGGGGCACCTGGTGACTTCTACCTGAACAGCCTCACGGCAAACCTGACGACCTCCACCTGGACAGCCTCACGCCAAACCCTCGCCTCCCGCAGGCCTTAATTCCCCCCTTAGTTCTGGAGGCGCAGAACCTAACACCCTTCCCAGGTGCTGTCGTAGGCTTGTTACCTGCCCTTTGCCCAGGGAGCGACCGCCCTCAGCGCCGCGGCCCTTAGAGATAACCCGCGGACGGCCGCCATCTTCCTCCACAAACCTCCACAAACCCCACCCCTCGCGTTGCCCAATCCCTTTCTCCACCTGGGCCTTCGGAGGCGGGACCCACAGAGACCCCGCCTCCGAGCATACCTATTGGGTGGTGCTGGAGGAGAAGGGATTTGATTGGCTACAAATGCTCCCATTTACGGAAGTGAGGGCGCACCAACAAAACCCGGCGGAGCGCCGAGCAAGGAGGGGGCGGGGCGGAGATGGATCCAAGCCTGCGGGGCCGCGGTGCGGACAAGATGGGCGGAGATAGCCGGCGTCTGGGCGGGACCGAGTCGAGCTTGGCTCTCCGGACCGGGGGGCGGGGCGCGGGCAGGCCCAGCCCTGGTTGCTGGTGACGAGTGGCCTGACTGGGCTCCTCCCCCGGCCCGCCCCGGCAGGTTTATCTTGTGACTGAGGCTGTGGCTTCTTCCTTCCTCGCGCTGGGAACCCGTTCAGCTGCGATGCGTTTCTTGGTCGCCGCGTTCCTGCTCCTGGCGCTCGGCGCCTCCGCCCTGGCGGAGCCGGTGCATTTCAAGGACTGCGGTGAGCCCGAACCTGCCCGAGATTCCCGCGCCCTCTGCAGGAGGCCCCACGGGAGCCCCGCGCCGAGACCCCCCGCTAGGTTGGGCGGGTCCCGCGGGCGGCCAGGCTGAGCCGCGGACGCGACGTGGAGTGGGCTGGAGTGGGCAGGGGTCGGGGAGAAGGTGCGGGCGGCGAAACCCAACGGCGCACAACTTTGTCTCTTTCCTGAGACGCGTGGTTGGGGTCCCTGGACATTTCCTAGAGCTGGGCCTTTTGCTCAAGTTTTCTGAAGTTTGTAGGGCAGACAACTGAAGGTCCCAGCGCTGCGCGGGGCGTGAGCGGTGGGGCGCAGAACTCCTTTTTATATATGCCTCGTGTCTTAGATGACCTCTCCCTCCCCACGCCGTTTGCTTTTATTTTTAATTTCCCTTTTGCTGACAAGTCAAAAGTCAACTCTCCTTTCCATGATTTACTCCATAACCACTTCCTTTGGGCTGTATAATTTTGTGATTCTTAATCACTGTTTCCTCCTACATATAAAACTCGTGTTGCTGGTCAGACCTTGTGACACATAACCCCCCCTTGCCGCTGTGGTAGGGATCTTTGTTGGGAAATACAAAGGGGGAGGGGCGGATGCGAAATAATGAGACAAGTCTATGGAGTTATTCGTTCTCCTGAAGTGAAAAGGTGTAATGTAAATGAAAGAAGACATTTTATAGAATCAGTGAGCTGGAAGGAAACTTGGAGATCCTGGAGTCAATCATTGAATTCCAGAGATGTTCGATAAATTACCCAAAGTCACCCAGCAGAATGGGAACGAGAATAAGTTTGATCCTTTATATCTAGTGCCCAGGTAATAGTAACTGCTCAATAACTATTTGTTGAAAAGTAAATGAGGGAATAAATACTCTTAACTATATCATCAAAATTCATGTTGAGGCAAAAGCAAAGTTAGGCTAGGGGACAGGATTGATTAAGGAGTAAAGACTGCTGGCCTCTTAATACTTAACAAATGCTGTTCCACTGAACTGCTGGCACTTGAAAGATGGTATTACCACCTCCAGTTACTGCCTTTCCCTCCATTAAACTTAGTCGCCAAATTTGGATGAAGATATTATATTAACTTTATTAACTCGCTCAACCCTCAGGATGTTTTACAGATGAGGAATCAGGCACATGGAGTAACTTTCCAAGTTCTCACAGCTAGTAAGGAGTAGGAAATTAGTGGGTGTTTGTGAACCACTTTGGGTTTCAGTGGTAACATTAACATTAAAACAACAACAACTATGGAAAGCAAATCCAGATATTGTTCTACTCATTTGAAAAAAGCAGAAGTCCACCTATGGCAAGAACTTCTTAAGGGAGGGGTGGTTTCGGTTACAGATTTTCAATTGACTTTGGAATTGGGAAATAATGTAAAAACTTCAGCACCCACATCAAAGGGTTTTCGAGTTGAGTTCCACTTTACCACTGACCCTTTCCCCTGGAGTGGTATTTCCTCAGGTAAGCAATGGGACCAAGCAAACTGGTTTTGCTATTTTTGCCAGTTAGGACTGAGGAGTTTGTTCCGTGGACATTGAAAGTCCAAGCACCTCTTCTCAGTAAAACTGGATGAAGGAGCTACAAGTACTCCCCTTTCCTCAGGTCCTACTAGATCACGTGACCCAGGCTGGAAAGAAGCAGGTAGAAGTGGATGTTGAAAGCTCTAGCATAAGCACTGATTTTCAATAGGTTGTTGATTCAAGTTCCAGATATTTTTTTTTTTTTCCTGTCTGTAGAAGATAGGAGGACAGTGGAAGACAGTGCTTGAAGAAGAGAATTCTTACAGGTGTATTTTGAGAACTTTGCCCATGATGGAGAAGCATGCTGCGGATGAGGGACGGCAAGTTCTTCCTTACAGACCTAGCTGGAGCAGTATTGGTCTGTATGATGAAACTGTCCCACCCAAGAGCAGGCACAGGCCAAGAAAGCCAAAGTGCATCTACACGAGCTTCTCTTCATATCCTATAGGCTAAGCTAACCTGGTGACTGCAAAGGAGAGGCCCACCTTTTGTGTCAAAAAGGAACTTTGCTAACCCACCCAGGAGCAACTATTCTAGACTAAATTCGAGGACTGAATCCCATGTGATGGTAATAAAATGAACACTTACTTGTTACACTTACAATAAAATGAACACAGCACTACTATGTTGCAAACACTTACCTAAGAGCTGTAAGTGTGTTACCTCACTTACCCTCTGAGGCAGTCACTGTTATTTTCCCCAGAGGGGTAAAGTATCTTGTTTTGAGGTTTCTCAGTCATGGAGCCCATGAGATTCCAAACCCAGGTGTCAGGTCCCAGAGCCTACCTCTTAGCCATGATGGCTGAGCTTAAGCTTTCCTTGGGGTGGGGGTGGGGAGGCACCTGGGTGGCTCAGTTGGGCATCTGCCTTCAGCTTGGGTCATGATCCCAGGGTCCTGGGATTGATCCTCAACAGGGAGCCTACTTCTCCCTCTCCCTCTCCCTCTCCCTCTCCCTCTGCCTGCCGTTCCCCTTGTTTGTGCTCTCTCTCTGTCAAATAAATAAATAAAATCTCTGAAAAAAAAAAAAGCTTTCCATGGCATAGGTGGTGTTAACAGGCAGTTTACTTGCATTCTCTCCATTCAGCTGTCCAGTTTCAGGGGCCTGGATGATGCAGTGGGATTTTTAAAAATTTTACTTAACCTGTTTAGGTCAAGCATTTATTGGGAACAAACAGCACTTTTGTCTTTGTTTAGACCGCAAAGACACACACCGTGTCTCAGAGACACTTATTTTGAAGAACACGTGTTTCCAAAGTGGAGTGTAAGCCTATATGCTGCAGATGCGTTCTGAAAATCGCTTTCCCTGGTAGGGGTTTACAAAGCTGGTCATCCACCAGTTTAGAGCAAAACCAGGACAGGATCTGAAGGACATGGCAGGGTGAGGGGGGGGGGCAGTTTAGGAGCAGCCAGTCTCAAGAGTCCAGGTGGATAGGGCAGGCCTGAGGCTTGAGCCACCACTGTGCCATGTGTATGCTGCTTTAAATCCCACATGGGGATGGGAGGAGGGGTGGGGATGACTTCCCTGGTGTAGCCCTCCCAGGGTATAGAGCAGGGGAGCTGGCTTTTTATACTTAACTGATTTTATTCATTCTCAGCCATCAGATACGAAGAGTTTCCTGGAGAGCAGAGCACCTTCCCATTAGGTAGGCGACAGCATAGGTGGTTTCTTTCCCCTCCTATTCCAATTCATTTTTCTTTTTTTTTTTAACAGGTTCTGGGCTTGGAGTTATAAAAGAACTGAATGTGAACCCATGCCCCACCCAGCCCTGCAAACTGCACAAAGGCCAGTCTTACAGTGTCAATGTCACCTTCACCAGTAGTGAGTAAAAGTGGCTCTTGCCTTCAAGTTTATCTTAAAGCCTAACAACAGTCTCAAGTATTGGAATGAGCGTGGGGTAGGGGCATTGCAGTCAGGACGTCTGTGACCTCCCTTCCAAACTGTGCAAAGCTCAGACTTACCTTCTGTAAGGTTTAAGGAATTCATTTGGGACCCAAGAAAAAATCTCAGCTTCACTTCTAGAAAGGGCATCTACCATGAATCCTTTCCTTACTTTCTATCCTGTGGAACTAGACGGGGCAGTCCAATAAGAAATCTCAACGTTCCTGTCATCTTCTTTAAGCCTAAAGACAACTCTAAATACTAGAGTTGTTTTCTCTCCTGGATGATACCCTGCCCCCTCTACTGTCCCAAACCAAAAATGTACCTTCTAAACGAAAGTAATCCCCAAACCAGAAAGAAACAAACAGAGCCAATATTCTGGATCTGCAGGATAACCTAATAGCTCATAACCCTAGTTGCCCTAATTTTATTGTATTTATTCCCCCTGCCCAACTTGTGATATGGAGGGCAGAGGGATAGCAAGAAATGTACCTCTTCTTTCTAATCTTACCCAGTTTCTAAAGGGTTATCTCTTACTGTTACAGCCCATGGCATTTCTGTGGAGATTCCTTTCCATTTTGCTCTTAATTTCTAATGGAATCCTGTGGGCAGGTCATTTGAGAATTCAGAAACCAATCTTCTAAAACTCTGTAAGATACCCTGTACACTTTGACAGAAGCTGATATAATTAATAAACAGAAAGTTTACTGCCAAAAAACTCAGTTACTCTGTTGGGTAAGGTTATTTATGTAGCTCTGATTTTCCTGAGAAACTGAAAGACAGTGAAGAGCAAGGTGGGGGTGAGAGCAAAGAAAACAACCCTCTCAGTTGCTTTTTTTTTTTTTTTTTTTTGGAGTGAATACTTATTCGGTAGCATTCACAAAGATATTAAGCATAACTACAAAGAGAAATAGACTCTAGGAATTAAAAAGTACAGACTTTATGATTTGCTATCCTCGCAATGCTGTTGCTTGGGAACATATCTGAATTTTTTACTTAGGGTTTAGTATAGGCTGTTCCCTTCACTATCTGATTCTCTTTTGTTCCTCTTAGATATTCCATCTCAAAGTAGCAAAGCCGT